CTTACTACTTTCTAGAATTTTTGTGGTGGGAAACTGTTTTTTTTTAACCAGAGCTGTTGTCATATTGTAATATACATCAAAATTTTGATGCCCGTCTTTTTCCAAATTTATCATTTAAATGAATGATTTCATCATAATGATATAAATCTTATTTAGGTTCATGTCATCAAACTTGATTAGTTTTCAACATGTCAATTCATGCTTTAAATATGTTTAATTTTATTAAGAGTGTAAACGAGTTGATTCGAGGGCACATGGTGAGCTCATGATCGGCTTATCAAAATAATGAGGGGCTCGACTGTGAACTCAAGCCAAAGTATGAAAATCATTGACAATGAGGATTATGCTAACTGGATGAGTAGAATCATGATGCGAGCTCACTAGAGAATGCATGACGTGAATTTGCATGAGGTGTCTTTGATGGTGACGAGTCGCCATAGTGCAAACTCATTTGAGAATGAATAGATGGGTCTAACGATCTATACTGGGATGGTTCCTTTTTGGAGAAGGCATCAACGAGACTGACTAGGATCTTGAGAATTTGTGATGGGAGTTCACTTAATCGGGCATAAACTTGGTCAACTTTGTTGTTTGAAGAAGAGTTTGTAAGAAGGGATTAGGTTTCAAGCTCGAGGAGGCATTGATAGGATGAATGATGGTTTGAAATCGAGCAACTGAGATGGGATTTAGGATTTATGATTTACTTGACTTGGCTCACAAGCCAAAGAGTTAAGTTTGGGCAAGTTTAAACTCAGGTCATATAATATACGAGCTCCTAATTTGAGCTTAAGGGTCTATTTGGGATAACTTTCTGCTTGGTTTGCATTTCAAACTGCCATCACAACTCTGTATGGGAAAATTTTTCTTACTACTTTCTAGAATTTTTTGTGGTGGGAAACTGTTTTTTTTTAACTAGAGCTGCTAAAGTACAACGGTTGTAAGAAAGCTGCTGTATGATTTTTTGGAGAAAATATATATTTATAATTCCCACTGAAATTTTGTAAGAAGATGCTTTCCCCACCATTACAACCACTTTTTTAAAAAGCTACAACCACACCAAACAGACCCCAAGTTGTAGCTTAATAAGTTTGATTTATGAGTTGAGCTCTAATTGGATTAGATCACCTACATTTTCAAATGCTATCTCAATTGATTTTGCTTATTCTACAAGTCATCTAATTGCTTTCGCAAAGTTTTGAAAATTTCGTTAGTTTCATGGCTTGTGAAGTTGGCTTGTGAAGTTAATGTTGCGCTTGGCCTCACTTTTTTGGTGGAATCATAACAACTTAAAGCTTTAGAACCAATTTTGATGCTAGATGACTCGGGTTTAGATTTTTTATTTTTTAATAAAATTAGTAGGAAATAAATGAATTCATGCATAAAGAACTTTGGGGGCATTTACATTTATTTTTATATATTTACATATCTCACACCTAAACTTTCATATTTACCCACTTGCACTCAAATCTTCAATATTACATAAAAAATATCACTATTACTACTTTATAAAACCCACTCAAATCTTCAATATTACATAAAAAAATACCACTATTACTACTTTATAAAACTACTATTACTACTTTATAAAACCGAGACACCATTTCAAGCATAGGCTTAAAGCACTAAAGTGATGTGAATGTAAATATGAAAGTTTGGTGTGAGATATGTAAATACATATGAATTTTGTGCTAGGTATGTAAATTTTCCAATAACTAATTAACTCATAGTTCACAAGCCACCATTTAATACAATAACTTGCTGTCTTCAAGTATAAACATGTAATTCGTAAATTAAATCCTAGCTGTGAAATAATTGAAATAATATATGAAATCAACTAGGGTTTAGCACTACCTAAATTAATGTGTTGTTATATTTTAATTTTCATGAAGTTTTTGTTTGTACCACATTTGAGCAAAATTGAGGGAACTAATCAAGACAGTATTAAATTATATAAATGAAATGAAAAAGGCATAAACTAAAGAACTAAAATAAGAAAAATCTAGCCTTATGCCAATATAGTAAGATAACACCTTCCATAACTAGATATTTGTACTTTTAGCATACTCAAATGAATCACACTGCTAACTTATGTTTGCATGATTGAAAATCAGAAAATATAATCCATGCTAGTTCATCCATAATATTAGTCAAGATATTATGTTATTGCCTTATAGCCAAGGTGACTTGGTTGATTAAATTGTTTCAGTTGAGCTAGTTGAGCTTTCTAATGTTAAGCCATCCTCCTTTATTTGAGCGGTGCTTACAATTCTTTAGAAGACCTGCCAAATTCCTATAAAGAATTGGGTCAAGTTATTGTGTTGAATTATTATTGGAACGGCAATACTCGAACCCCACCCAATCATCATAGAGGGCTAATAGGTTAGGTCTAAGATCCTTTAGTTTAAGGAGAATTTGACATAGATTCACTTTTTGAATAAGAATGGATCTTATGAATTTGTGCTATAGGCAACATGACCCAATGGTGGCTACTCTATAATATCATAATGCCCAAACTTTGGCTTATATGCATAATAAACCGAGTCAAAATTATATGCATAGGAATTGAGATTTAAAAGGTGTTAGTATGCCTTGCATATATTAATTACACTTTTGAAGGGCAAATAGTGTAACATAGTGCAAAGGTCCTGTGAAGTCATAGTGTAGCTCACATGATGTAACTCACGTTATTTTAAACAATGTTCCAAATCATAAAAATTATGGATAAAGATGTAGAAATATATATATATATATATGAAAGACAATCAGATTGCAAAATAAGCTATTATAGTACTGGAAATAATTTAATTTATAAATAAAACTACTTCTCTTATAATGTTAAGTATTAATGCTTAGGCTTAAGTGTTCAACCATCCAAAGTTTGAAACATTTTAATTTTTTTTATAAGTCCCTTGTTTTTTTTTTCAAAAGCAAAGCCTTAGCTTAACTTCAAGTGGATTATAACTAAAATTTTACGGTAGTTAATTCCAATTATTTTGCATCTTTGCATCATATGATTAATAATCGACTGATTATTAATATTTAGGTTGTCCACAATTAATTAATGATTAACTTATTAAATAAACAATAAAAAATGATGAGCGTGTATGAAATAAGAAGTTACATTGAGTCTGTTGAGAATTGAACAGTACTCCCTAGTGTTTGTTAAGAACAACAAAGCGGACTGCTGATATTATTTCTAGAATCAAGATTGCCAGTTCATCAAGTGTCTCTCAAGAGCTGAGACCTTTTGTGCCATGAGGAATGTCAATTGGATGCCAAGACATCACGTGGAGTTATCATTGTTACCTTCACTCATCGCCATCACCATTGCCAGGGTTTGAAGCCCTAATAGAAGCCTCAAGTCGAAGTCCTCGACATGTTGCCTTTTGTCTCAAAGCCCTTTGCATGTGTTTTGCGTTGCATGTGTATAATGGTGTCTTACGTACGTTTATTAGCCTTAATAATCTGATAAAAAGAAAATAGAATTATTGAAATGATAATTTAAATTATTTTAATATTAATTTTATGTGATAAAATAGAGAAATTAAAACATCATGTTTTATGGGGCAGTGTACCCTGCACTATTGTCCATCTCTAACATAAGTATAACACATTTTTTGATACTCCGTGCCTTGCTTTTGTGCCTCACATGTTATGGATAATATGTTGCACTATTGTGCTTCATTAACCTGTATGATCTATGTTTTTTTTTATAGACATTAATACTTCAAAACGCTTGATGATTATTAAAATACATTTGTGAGCATCTTTGATATTTGATGAATGCCTTGGTATGTTGTTGCTCCTTTCAAAGCAAAGTTCAAATACACGTGGTGATTTCATGTTATGAAGTTCTTTGGTGAGTTGATTCTCTTTGAAAGTTTATTTTCTAATTTAGAAGTCTTTGATTCATGTCCTATAGGTAGGATGACCGGCATATTTTGATTGGTTGCACTGAGCACTCTCTTTTTGTTATACTATTGGTTATATTCAGCTTAAATAACTTTATTTGCGAAGTCAAACGACAAGCAACCTGTTGTTGCACTTGTTTCAGTGTTAAAAGAGCATTTATTACATCTAACAAATATGCTGATGTATGTTGTGTTAGTTAAAGTTCATATTTTCTCCTGGTCCAAATTTAGATGCAAATCTAATTTGGCATGCTTTATTTAGATCATTATTGTTGTTCGTGAAGGTTTACTCTTTAGTTTAAAGAATTATGGATCATGGATCTTCATTGTTAAATGTCATAAGGGGGTAGTTTTACAAAATTGTTGAAATTTAGTTTGTCTTCTGATAATTGGCTAAATTCCAAAGCTTGATGATGGCATCAAAGTCGCTCACTGATTGCATCAATTTCTTCTTGATGAAAGTTCATAAGTTTTCATCGAGTTTTAGCCTAATGCTTTTGTTGTCAAAAAAGAACTCTAGTATCCAAACTACTGATTGTGATTGACTGAGGGTGGAAAAACCTCCGACCAATGATCTACAATGGAGAGGTTCTGCGCTGCCGGAAGTACCTATGATCGATGAAGTGGGGTATTCAATTTAGCTGAAATAGAGATTGACGAATCTTCAATGATTCAGCTCCATAGTTTAAGCCTTTTCCAAAATGTTATTAATATTATTCCAAAACGTTATTGTTATTTATTTTTTTATGAGTTATTAGAAAGATTTACTTGCATGCCACTCAAGTCCTATGTATTTACATATCGAACACCTAAACATCAATTTTTGCATAGATGCCTTCTTACCTTTACATGAAAATGAGTATTTCACTTTTTAAAAGTTAAAATGGTGGTTTTTTTATGTGATATGAAATATTTGGGTGGTATAAATATAAAATATAATGTTTAAGTGTTAGATATGTTGATATGTAGGAATTGGGTGGTTTGTATGTCGAAAAAAATAGAAAAAAAAGGCTTTTATCATTTCATGTTAAGATATGTTAATGATGGCATATATGTATTTCCTCAATATCATGATTCCATCCATTTCAGGTTCTTCCGGATGACATTCGGCAAGCTCTAATGCTAATGGTGCGCTGCTGCATGGATCGGGACTACCTCGCTGCCATGGACCATTATATCAGGACAGCCATCGGAAACGCACCGTGGCCCATCGGTGTGACTATGGTTGGCATCCATGAGCGATCTGCTCGCGAGAAGATCTACACCAATAGCGTTGCCCACATAATGAACGACGAGACAACTCGGAAGTACCTGCAGTCTGTGAAGAGGCTTATGACATTTTGCCAGAGGAAGTATCCTGCGCTCCCCTCCAAATCCGTTGAGTTCAATAGTTTGGCTAATGGAAGTGATCTGCACTCTCTTTTGGCTGAGGAGAGGACTAAGAGTTCTGTGACTGAAGAAAAGCTTCGGTTGATGCCTGCACCTTAAGTACAGCTGGTTTATGCTTCGTCTGAGAACCAAATGTTTGCAGAGGATTCTTCTATTTGCTTCTTTTAATGTTAATTATTAGTTGATTGTTGTATTGTTTCTTTCTCTTTTTTATGGGGCATTTACATACATACACCACACAATTCTTATGTATTTACATGTTTGACACCCAAGCATTCATATTTACATGCATATCACAATTTTTAGCATCACATAAAAAATAGCATCACTATCTTTTTAAAATTAAATACTCCTTTTTGACATGAAGGTGTTATAAGTGTAAATGTCTAACTTTGGGTGTTGGATATGTAAATACATAAGAATTGTGTGACATGCATGTAACTTTCCTTTCTTTTTTTTTTCCCCACTTTATGCTGAATAGAGAGTATGGAGGTCTCTCGTTTATGTTGATTCATCCAACATGTTTGTTGATAGTCATGGTTGGTCTCGTGACGTGCCCTCACTTGATTGTCCGTGTTCTTGTAGCTTGGCCAATGATTTAGGAGTAACGGTGTCCTTATTTTGTACATTACTTGGGGTCATTTTTATAAAACATGTTTACCTTATATATAAAGCTGTGCTATGTGGATATATTGTCTTGTATTTTGAAATATTTTCCGGACACAATTTTATTTTAGTTTATTATGTTATTGTATAAATTTGCATGATGCCAAATCTTTTAGATTTTTAAGTACGTTTGATTTGATTCAACCTTCAAGCTTTGGGTTATGCTTAAATTTTGAACAAGTTAGTTTAAACTAAGCATCAATCGAATCATTAGCTAAAGGTTGTTCGTATAATTTTATATTTTCAACATTTATTGTCATTCGATTATGATGTTGCGCGCAAGTTTATGGCTGTTGTAGATAGGGCTGCAAAACGAGCCGAGTTTGAGCGAGCTCGTGTTCGGCTCGTGTTCGAAATTGGCTCGTGAACAGTGTGTTCGTGTTCGGCTCGATTTAATTGTTTGTGTTCTTGTTTGGCTCGTGTTCGACTCGAAATTGGTTTGTTAAAATTAAATTGAATAAAATAGATGTAAATCGTTGGATTCAAACTAGAGTAAATATATACAAAATAAGGGACTAAGCACTTTACCACTTGAGATGTTATGATTTTAACTTAGATATAAATATAAATAATATATTATTATATAAATAATTTATGTAATTTATTATTATATAAATAATTATATAATTTTTTTTTATTTAGAGTTAAAACGAGCCAAACACGAGCGAACAAAGAACTGTTCGAACAAAGAATGAACACGAGAGAATAAAGAGCTGCTCGTTTTCAGCTCGATTATAATTCGAGCTTTAAAAACTTATTCGTGTTCGGCTCCTTTGCTCGTTTACTTAACGAACGAGCCAAACACAAGCTATTTAACGAGCCGAACACGTGCTGTTCGCGAAAAACGAGCTTTTTGACAGCCCTAGTACGAGCCAAACACAAGCTACTTAACGAGCCGAACACGTGCTGTTCGCGAACAACGAGCTTTTTGACAGCCCTAGTTTTGACAGCCCTAGTAGTAGATGTACATAGTGGTAAAAATTTGCTATTTGCAAAACAACATTTACATGATTTTTTGAAATACTGAATTATTGCATGTGTGCCATGATCCAACCATTACCGAGAACTTGATAAAAATAAAAAGGAGAAATTATAAGTACATGCGTTATATCTTATATCAATAAAGTGTGGTATTTATAGACTTTTATAAGAAAGGTCGCAAGGATTGTAATTCAATGGTTATTATAAGACTAATCAAATTGTAGCAATTTTTAATACATATGCTCGGAGTTTTTTTTGGTTTCCTAAGATTTCAATTCACATGCAGAGAATTTTAGGAGTCATACGGGAGTCACACAAATTGATTAAAAAATTTAGCATAAATATATACTTTCTGGATCAATTCGAATATAAACAAATATGCAAAAATATTTTGCAGCAACCATGACATGATGACATTGAACATGCACAAAACATGCTGTAGAGTGGATACCAAACATTTCTATAATTGTATTATCTGCACCAAAAAATTTCTCCAAAAAGCTTCTTCTCCAATTCCAAATCCACCCCCTCTGAGGTCAACGTTTACTTCTCTTTTGCTAAGGTTAGGCTATCAACCCACACGCTCAAAAAGCACCTTTGTAATGTGGTCGTCGAGTGCGGCGGGAGGACACCAAGCCAAGTAGTAAATGCTCTTGATGACAGCCAGAAAAGTTTGCTTTGTTGGGCCGCTGAGGCCATCGGGACTCTCAGGCTGTAGCACACATTTTATCAGTTGTTGCATGTCTGATTCTAGATGGCTGTCGTCTGCAATTCTTATCTTGTTGCCCTGCGCCCACCAAGAGTGGATTTCTTATGAGTTATCTTTAGATTTGGAAATGAAAAAAAGGCTGTCCATCAAAAAGTGAGAAATGCATTCATGTTTTGAGGATGAAGCATGAAGCATGCCGCATCCCCACCACAAAGCTAATTAACAGTGGTTTTTTAATAGATTTGATGAAATAAGTTGAGAATGACATGAGCAGGATATTTAGTTCCAAAAATATGTATTAAGTATTTGTTCATCAACGCATGGAATCAACTAGTTTATTGAGCTAGCACGACGGACTAGTTAAACCATTCCGATTGAGAACTTGACAAAAGGGCAAAATAGGGGAAACTTGCTCGCGATGTCGAATAGTAAAAAAGAGACAAAGGGCTATTTAGACAATCCGTCCAAAAAAGAAACATATGCCACTATGGTTATGGTGAATTGAATTTCAAGTTCTCTTACTGGTCACTACACCAACTAGGCTGACAAAGCGTTACTGAGGAGGATAAGCAAGAAAAATCACAAGAGAAACATTCCCATAATTTACTATTGAAGCCATTTTGTCTGGTCACTATTTCTTTTACCTGCGACCTACCTTAACAAGCTCCCATTGCCAGCAATCTTCCCCCCAAACTCCCTCTAGTCCCCCCACAGTTAAGGGAGGGATCAAAATTTCTAATTATAAAGAATATTTGCTTATTTAAACAGCATGAAAATCTTAAATAAAAGTTATCGCAAGATCCTAAATAGATTACTATATTGTAAAATAATAAATAGAGTCCTTTACAAAATCCTAACTAAAATCTACCATAAATATTTATAATTAAGGCTTCGTTTGAGAAGACGTTCAGACTCCATTCGGTTGTTGTAAAAGCCTGACACAGATTTATTTTTGTTCGGTAAAAGAGCGTCCCCCAACGGCTCTCAAATTTCCCAATTCCTCTTGAAATTACTTCACCGGAACATGATGTTTTGTTGATTTAGAAATCAGATGACAAGACCAGTTTTGCCATCGACTTTTAAAGAAGCGAAGCTCCATCAAATGAGGCTTATGTCCACAAAATCCATAAATAGTGGTTCATCATCAATAATTGAAAGTTGCACTTTTCTTTTTACTACATAATAATCTAAACCCTAAAGAATGTTTGTTATATGTTTGAAATATATATTAACAAATACAAAGAATATATAATTCTTGATCGAATCAAACAAAAGAAATATAATTATGGTATATGTTCAATCATCCTGCATATTTTAAGATGCATTTAAATCAGTAGAAGCCTCCTCCAAATACCTCTAAGAGAATATAAAACGATTCCATCTCTATCATTATAGATAGAAGAGAAGTAGCTCAGTGGTCACCCTTAGAACCTATTATTGGTTGCAGATTCTAATTTTATTGGAGGTTGTGCACTGAAGAAGGCGTGATCACACGCCTGCACAAAAAATTCAATAAGAATTCTTTTGATGTGGAGACCACTCTCCAATCCCCAATCTTTTGTAAATGGATGAAAGCCAAATCTCTCTCACCCAATGCGATTCAAAAGCTGCAATATTAATTGATGCACCAAATGGGATCACATTGGGTTTCTGTGGTTTCTGTGACTGGAAGAACTCCTCAAACCCTTTTTTTTTTTTTTCAAACCGGCTAATTGCGGGCGAGCATTTCTACGAAATCTTAATTTGCACGTAAAGTTACGCTTAAACATTGAGGCATCTTTTGATATAATGGTTGTAGTTTTGTCAGAAACTCTATAAAGTTAAGGGCGCTCGCATGGGAGCACTTCTAGAAAGGGTGAACTTCTGGGAAGTCATACTAATGGGGCAAAATCATGAAGCAATCAGGCCAAAATGTATCTCGATGCGTGAGAATTTGGGTTGTTACATGCATCAATTTTTTTTTTTTTTTTTGATAAAAATACTTAAAATTAGTTGTTAGAAGTTAACAATCTAATTCTAATTATTATAATGGTTTTTCTATGAAGACTGCTAATTTGGTCAGTACAAAAGCTTTCAAAATTAATACTCATCATCTAGGTTTGTTCTACTACCAGTGTATATAGACATCCCAATAGCCCAACCTAGAAAATATTATGTCCAGTGGTAAACCAAATGTGTGGTCAATGGCGTGGATAACACCTCATCGCCGAACAAACGGTGTGATGCGATCCACGCAGTCGCTTTCACGTCTGAACTACAAACGTAATATTCTTCTCACTAACGACGCCATAACCTACTGTTTCGAGCAATAATTGGCGCTTAAAATGCTTAATCACAAAGGAAAAAAAAAAAAAGAGAGGAGCAGCTAGCTCTTCATAATAATTATTTTTTAAGATAAAATTATAACACTAAATGATCAAGACCATGATGTCAGAACGAATGATGAAAGAGCTTATTAACTGCGTAAATCAAAAAGTTAAGATGCTGATGAACAAAGCAAAAGATTAGGCGAAATTGATGGATCAGCACGCATAATCACCAAAAGAAAGTGTTGTTAGCAAGGAATCAAATTAATTTGAATTCATCACCTAAGATGTCTAGTGTTGGCTATGTAGCGTCCACCATCAACTTCGCTTTTGCTCACTAGTTCTAATTTAGCATGTGTTAGGCTCGAATGGGATATGTCTCCCCATTCGCTTTAATTTTAAGTCATCGTTCTTATCCTTCAATGAATATTACTCCGGCACGGAAGCAGAAGTTTGTCACCAAGATTTACATGCATACCACTCAAATCTTGTGTATTTACATATCTAACTATTATGTCATCTTAAATTCTTAATTATAATTTCACGTTTTAAAGTTAAAAAAGTTATGTTTTTAATGTGCTATGAGAGATATAGATGGTATAAATATAAAATGTGAAGTTTTATGTGTTGAAGATGCAAATATTGAGTGGTACCTCATGAACGGGCAAGCGCCCGCAAATTGAAATGGTGAGCCGGACGAGTTTGTCGTACTCTAGCCGGGCAGCTCCACCCTCCGGTTCGGTCCGACCAGCACAAAGCTCGATCGACCGAACTAATAATAAGGCAGTCTCACCTCTGCTCTCTCCCTCTTCCAATTTCACCAGCCACTCCTCCCACTGGCAAAATTAAAAGAAGTTAGGATGATGACAAACGGGCTGGGCTAACCACAAGCAAGTAGAATAACGGATGTACTTACAGCTCGTCGGAGATGGTGGCGGAATGTTTGGGCCGGCACCCTCAGCAACAAAGGCCTGTCGAGCAGCATCAGAATGTGGCCCACCAACTCTTCCGCCGTCTGCTTCGACCGGCATTGATGGTCCGGGTCGGGTCGGGTCGAGCAATGCTCCACCTTATTGGTGGCGGAGGAATCATTATAGGAGACGACGACGGCCTGAGCCAGCGCGGCAGTTCCGGCCCAACAGAGGCGCTCGGCTGAACGGTCCGGTTCAAATTTAGATGCGGAGGCCAAGAAGTAGGCCCTCAACACGTTCTTCTGCCGCATCCCATACTCTTTCCGCACGCACGCCTCAAACCACCTGTCAAAAATGATGATATTCTCAATTATGAAAAAGATTTGCTTAGGCCCATGAGCCAGAAAAATAAAAAATTTACTGAATTGGTATGACACAGTACTGAGCAGTGACACCATGCAAAAAAAAGTCCATTGGGACCGTATTAGTTTTTTTTATTGTCTAAATCTTGTGAATTTTCTTTAATTAATGTTGAACATTATAAATATTTATGCGGAACGGAAATTTATTAGTTGATCACGCCCAAAAAATAGAATTTAGTAAGTAGAGAATGAATCAATTCTCCACCAAAAGAGGTCTATTTCGAAGTTACATTGTGAAATGTCCATATTGTCATTGAAATACTCTATTACCGGCCGGTCATCACCATCACGATTATTATTACAATGGTTCCATTGGATCTTTGTTTCAGTTGCATGTAGGCCGACAAGTAATTTAGCGTCTTCTTATTTGGTTGGTCTGCTTGGTTTGATCGGCTGGATAATTGGCTCCAAACCCATTGATGGCCCTTTTGTACTCGCTGGAGTTGATTGTTATGATCTATGGTTACTGGCATTCCTTTTTTTGTTGCACTAGATAATTATGGTGTACTGTAAAGACTTTATATCCTTATCTAATCGGGAGGTTAAGAATTAAACAAAGAATAAGCGAATATTTTTACATTGCCCAATCTTTTATTCTGTTCTCATCTCTCTCTTCAATCATACACAAAAAAGAAGAGGGAAAAAAAAATGCCGAGAGTAATCACTTGCACTTGATAATAAAATGAAATGACATAACCTTTGCAAGCTGAGCCACTCGAGCTTATGGATGGCCTGACATTGGTTGAAATCAGCCTTGGCAAGCTCCAAATACACCGCGTTGTTCACGTACAACATCCTGCCAATTCCGATCCACTACATGAATGTCATGTATTAATCAAATAATCTAAAGAAATTATTTTATAATAATAATAATAATAATAATAACCTACTCCAAGAATATGAAGCCAAAGTGTTAAATAAATAAATAAATTTGCATACATACATACCACATAATTCTTACGCATTATATATCTAACACCCGAAATTTGATATTTACATTTATAGTATCTTAATATTAAAATTCTATGAATGGAAAAAGTATACTTGACTTTTAAAAGTTATGTAAAAAATTTGAGTTTAATGTATGTAAGTGTGGATGTTCGGGTGTTAGATACATAAAATTATAAGAATTTGTAGTATTTATGTAAATGCCCCTGAAACAAATAAGTGAAATAAGACTCATAGACAAGACCTGTAGAGCGACTTTCCAATCCAAACGTCATCATCGCCCCCATACTGCTCTATGTACCACCTGCTCTCTACACGAGGCAAACTTGCGTAGAAAGGGAAATCCAAAGCATATGCCACCTACACTTCACCATTAATTTAACATAATTACACATTAGTTAAAATAAAATAGAAAAATTTGATCGAAGTAAATCCAATAAAACAGAGACTTGTAAAAATCCAATTTTTTTTTCTCCTCATAGAAATAAATTTATAAATTACATATGTGTACCTCGCCAGGCAAATCTTTGGAAATAACCCATTTGTCGAGGAGGAGGTTGGAAGCCTGCTTCTCCCTTAGGAATTGGTAGGAGAAGTTTTTGGCTTGGTTGAGTATCTCCTCGCCGGAGAAGATGAGCTGAGACGCCCTGTTTAGGTTGTACATTCCGGTCACCGCCTGAGTCGACTGCCCGATGAAGCCGAAGAACTTGTCGTCCCTCTTGAAATTACGGAACACATCTGCACGTTTAATTTTTTAATTACCCCAATAATTATTATATTGTCAAATATTAGTACTGTAATGAGAATGTTCATTTAACAATCTATTGTATAATTTATAGGAATCGTGTGGAACTAATTGATTTTGGGCCTAACAGCCAACTATCAATCGAGTTAATCAAATTTTTTGTGCATAATTAAAGTCTAATTATCTGATTAAAAACAGTTTAGGGTACGAAATTAATATGGATTAGTTGTACTTACTGCTTAAAAATTATATACCTTTCCGACAGCAAGAATATTACGTGTGGTAATTAAAGACTAGTGTTTCAACTGGTTTGGATTGAGACAAATATTTTAATCAGGAGATGCCGAGCATCTTATGATCTTAAGCCAACATGCATGAATCAGCTAGATAAATCATTACATGGGAAGCTTCAAAACCTCCACAAGGTTTTGAAAAATATTTGAGTGGTTTTAATATGATTTAAATGATATATTAGCAATATAATAATAGTATTTTGAAAAGCATGAGACATCTCAAATTTAAAGAGAAAACGTGAGAAATTAGCAATATAATAATAGTATTTTGAAAAGCATGAGGCATCTTAATTTTAAAGAAAAAAAACGTGAGAAGGGAGAGCAAAGAGAGCATGGCCGACTTGAAATGATCTTCTATATAAATAAGATTATAAAGTCTATCATCTTCAATTGGGGAAGATTGTTGACAATATTTGTCTACAACAATCAAGTGATGGTGATGTAACTATAACGGTTGGGTAATGATTATATGGTGATCAAGGTTGAATGGCGATGATAGGCGATGAGAATTGTTGAAGTCATGAATATGAATGTCAGGTGATGTTTAATGATCTTAAGATTCCCATGCCCTATTAATTTTAGGCCCCGTACCATATCGACAAAAAGACATTATTTATAATTTCTAATTATTATTTTAGTAAATTTGGCCAAAACTTTTAAATGCACAATCATATAGTGCATATTAATTCACTTGATTATAACTTAGTCTTTTAATAAGTTGAATATTTTAATAACATAAAAATTAATATATAATTTTGAACTTGTTGGATTCCTTTTGTTAAGCCATTCACTTGCTATAAGTAGATAGAAAAAGAGGCAATGCGATCATTCAAATAATATTTCAAATTTTTTAAACACGATTCAAGTGCTTAGTATAAACTCAAATTAGAACACTTTTATGTTATTGGATTGTATTATGATTATAATTTTACTAAATTAAAATTCCAATAATCCGAAATCTAACTTTGAAACCTTCTAACCAAAAGTTGTATTGAAAACCAAACTTGATTATATGACTTATGTTTGGTGATATAGTAATCTTCAATTTAATGGGGCTAATTTTTTTTTTTGAGAATTCATAAATGAAATCTCTAATTCATAAATAATATTTTTTCTTAAATTTTAATGGCAGGGCGATGACAAATCTTATGGGACTATTCAGCTACAAGTTTAATGAAATAGGATATAATAAATTCTGCATATAAAAATTTGAAAGAATCCATGGGCATTAAATCCTAAAATTTGGATAAGATATAAATTAAATCTTATTAAATTCTAATATATTATTTGACAGATATTTTTAAAATATAGAATTTAAATAAATCATCAACATTGAAGCAAGCACGTTAACGGCAGGGGAAGAGAGAATGAGAACAAAAGAGAGATAAAAAAAGCCTAATCTTTATCACACCTTTTCATATACAAACAATGGCAAGAGGATAAGTAAAGATCATTATTAGAAGATATTATAAGATTCATTCATATGAGGGAGGAGATCCATTAACAGAATATTTTGAAACTTTATTGATAGATAAGAGAGGGACAATTAATAAAATGATCATAAATTTGATATATTTTACTTCAAAAAAATAAGTAATAGTGATATTTTTTATCTATCCGAAGCAAGATAATTGCACACAAATGATTTGAGGCCGACCAAGAACAGAGGCCACCCTAACCACATAGATAAGGGCAAAACAGAAGGTTGCATATAACACAAACGTATATATCTAGAGTCGAAAAGATAAATGGTATAAATGTCATTTCACAACAATCTAGACCCTCTAGAGACACATAAATATAATTGAGATTGTTGAAATCTAATATCTACTATCCCATTTTAAGACATCCCTCTCTCCCTTATGCTCTATTATTTGGGTGTGATTCACAGAAAAATCTGAGTTTAACAATATAGAATAAGGAGCACCAGAACATACAACACATGACCATAAGAAACAATAAGATTTAATTGTAGGGTGTAATAATGAGATTTAGCTGACAGTCGGCTTAGACTACACAAACAATAGCGAACAAAAATAAAAATTAAATAAATCTAAAAAAGAAGTGACAACTAAGTAGCACTATGATACCCCTAATATAGCTGGCCGGGTTATGTGAGGAGTATTTATTAGGGTAGACTCATTAACTGAATCCACTTATGAATTCATGCATAATATTTAAAAAGAGGAAATCTTAGGGTGAGATTCATTGGAATTATCAGTTAGAAGGTGGCTCTCGTCTCTATTGATTATGACAAGGAAAAATTATATAGATATCACACAATTTAAATGTATTTATATATCTAAAACCTAAAATTTGATATTTATATTTATAATAATTTGGGTGATATAAATTTATATTTCACATTAGAGTGCTATATATGTAAATATATAAGAATTGTGATGTATGTGTGTAATATAATTTTAAAAAAGGATTTACTTACATTTCAATAAATTCTTACATGTTTATATACATAAAAATTAAAATTTGAAATTTACTTGTATAAGAATAAAAAGTTTAATATCACAAAATAAATATGAAAAGTACTAACCTTTTTAGGATGATTTACATATATACCACTCAATTATTTATGTAATTACATAACTAACACCTAAAATTTAGTTTTTAGATACATTCCATCTTATCTTGTGCATGAAAAGGTTCATTTCACTTTTAAAAGTGAAAATAGTGATAATTTTAGGCGATATGAAAGTTTCGAATGACATAAATTAAAAATTAAAGTTTGTGTTGCATATATATATTTATTTATTTATTTATTTATGTGATTAGGGAAATAGATCGGAATATGCGTCGGCGCTGATCTTGAGATCTAATGGCCCGGAAGGGGGAAAGTGTAACAAATGAGAGCCAACTGACAGAATGCCAAGAGGCCCACTTAATCAACTAGATGTAGCCACCCAAGATAAAAATAAAAGATGATCGGATGTAGGTTTGAGCCAGAGAAGGACAAAAAGATGATTGGTTGATCCAAATTCGAACTAATTGAATTAAAATAAGATAGATAAGCATTCAAGCCAACAATAATAAGAAGGACAACCAAAGGTAGTAATCGACTAGAGAAAAGACCCAGTTCCTCAATATCATCAGCCATCTCACGGACGCTCATGAGGTTCTTCATTAAGGATCAAGAATTGATAATACAACAGTTTTGTAATATCCCATAGGCTCTTCTCATTAAGGAGTAAAGTTGTCTTTCGAGACATCCAGCCCATACTAAACCAGTTGTGTCACATTGAAGTTAATCAAACTCAGTCGATTGACATCACCAATGAACCGAACCGGCCTTACTAAGCTGAGACCAAACAAACTAAACCGATCAAGCTAGAGAGTAGAGCAGTGATAAACTTATATGTATAAAAGATCTAAAATATCTTGTATAACCTCATTTAAAGCAAGGACAAAAATATAATGTCACAATATTGCACACTCTTATATGTAAATAGAGAGATCATAGACAAGACGTATTACTATTTATTATTGTTCACTTTTCTCTCTCTTATTTCTTATACTCTATTATATTCTCTGGGTATGATTCAATGACAAAAATATAATCTCATAATAAAAAAAAAATGATAGAGAAGAAATATTACTATTTATTATTATTCATTTTTCTCTCTCTAATTTCTTATACTCTCGGTGTAATTCAATGACAAATAAGGCCTCAACAATAACATAAAGCATCGTACATGTAAATATCAAATTAGATGTAAGATAAATTTATTAATAAAAATTGCATGGTATGTATATAAACTTCTTTAAAAGTTTAAGTTTATCTTTAAATTCGCCTTAATTTTTAGTAAACTATTTGCGCTACTCTCATTCTAAATTCAAATTCCGTCGTTAAACTTAGTCGGCTAACATTGAACAACACTCTGTCGCACGAATCAAAATTTTAACAGAATCTTATGCTGGTTCAGTAGATTTAATCCCATGATTGAGACAAACGCATCAATCACTGAAAGCTGAAATCTTGGCGTGCATGTTACTCACCAGGGGAGACGCTGTATCCATGGAGTCGCAGGAGCCGAAAACCCATGGCCGTGTCATCAATATCACGCACTTCTGAGTTCCTCGCCCAACACATCCCATGTTCGCTCCAATATCTGCCATTAATCTCTCCCAAGTTAAATCTAAGATGAAGATTGCGTGCGCAGAGTAGCCCAAGAAATTAAAGAGAAAAATACTGTACTTGAAGACGTATTCCATGCACTGTCTGATCTCTGCCTCAAAATAACGCGAAATGCCGAGCCTCTGCAGCCTGTCAACCACCCATAGATGCTCGAATATGTCCACTGGGTACACATTTGGCACTTCATGCGCACCCAAATACCACAACAATTTCAAAATTAGGCACGAGTAGTTTCTTCATCTTAATGCCGATCATTTTAAATAAAAAATTCAGTTTTTTTTTACCTCCCCCATGAAACCTTTCTACTACTTTCTTGAGATAACTAAGACAGTTTTCGTTGCCTGTCTGCATGAAAGCATAGGCGGTTGAAGATGGCGAAAACAGAAAGGAGCCATCCGAGCTCTGTAGCCTCAGCAGGCTTTGCCATTCCAAGCCGGGCATGCCTTCCAAGCTATGGAGCAGAGTCGTTGGCACTTTATGCATCAACTCCCTCGGAATCCTGCGCCCATTCATAGAAGAAAACAAAACAAAATCCCCACTTTAATTGCAGATAAGATTTGTTTGTTAGCCAAAGAAAGGGTTATGATTGCTGTCTTATCTTTTTTCGGAATATGTGCACTCACCTCTCCAGCTTTATCTCCCTCTTCGCATACACGTACTGCAACGCAGGGTGGTCATAAGGACAATCCAGACCCAAACCCTTAGCTAGGTCGATTAAGGAAGGCAATGCGACCTCGAATGCTATAGGCATCAGCTCCTCATTCTCTTCAGCAAGCCTCCACATATTCTCTTTCAAGAATAACAATCCTGCAGATAATTCATTAATAAGACATATGCTCTGTTTGATTCGTTGTCGTTTCTTATATGACATCAAATATTGGATTTAGGTTTTTTTTTTCTTTTTTGGAGTTGATTAGTTTCAAACATGCGCAGAAAATGTATAATCCGCCACCATCTCATCCGCAATTTATGTCATCTTTAGATAATAATAATCAACTAAATGATATTTTAATCCCATTTTAATGAGCCTTTGAGACTATACAGCTATCTGCTGATTAAAATATATAAAAATAAACTTAGTTTTGGTTCTTTTTCTTTAGATTGATAAGATTCTATTGAAAAGGAATCAAGAAGCTCCGTGTCGAACCTTTCTGGCATTGATCAAGACAAACGCTCCAGAAGCGAAGCGCGACGGCGCAGGCTAGCGTGCTGATTATTCGGTCATAAGCGGAGAAAAGGACCTGGTTGCCCCAAGAACCGTCCTCGAGCTGGTTGTCGATTATCCACTGCAGACTAGAGGGGAACTGAGGCCCGCCGCCGCCTATGAGGTCCGGCACCATGGCAACCCATGCCGTATCATACGCCGATGAAGTGATTTCTCCATCGCCCATTGAGCTCAGCATTGCTTTCACCTCTTCGATCATTTTCCATATTTCTCGTCCTCTTTCAGAGAGCTAATAATTTCCACAATTAGAAACAAAAAAAAAACCAGTCTTATTCTTGATAGTAATTGATGACTGTTTTAGTACCTCGGGGACTGATTCTTTCCCAGGCTCCGGGATTTTCGTGTCCAATTCGACTTCTTTTAACTTCTTTTCAATTGATTTCGAATTGTATTCTGTAATTATTTAAAAAAAATATACCATTTAGGGTTGTCCTGATTGAAATTCGCAAAAAGAAGCAATTTTGCAGAGGGAACTGAACGGGAACGGCGATTTTGATCAACGAGAAAAAGCAGGACACCTTGAGGGCTTGATTTCAGAATCGCATTTTCTCTCCAAGCAGTAGAGGGGACGGCTACGTCTACTTTTCTTCTCCATCCTGCCGACAATGAAATGAAGACTAAATTATTTTTATTCATTGAGGTTTAAAAGAATGGAAAAAACGGCCGGGAAGAAGAAATAGGGATAGAAACGTGCTGGGGAAAACGGGCTCCGGTGGCAAGGAGTTTCGAGGAACCGCCGGAAAACGGATGGATCTCATTGCCGCCGTTGAGGACATGCCGTTTTTAGCAGAAAGATACAAGGAATGTGCAGACAAGATGATCAAGCTACCGCTTTTATAAGGAGAACAGGGGTGAAGTTTTTTAAGAGAAGTGAGGGCCACGCCCGGGAAGGTGAGAAGTTAGTTAGAGGAAGAGACGGCTTTATGCGGGGTAATAAGAATTCATTATTTTAATTGTAATTTTATTTCCAAGGGGCATTCACATAGCACATAATTCTTATTTATTTACATATCTCACACCCAAAAAATAATATTTGCAAATATGACATCAAATTTTTAATATTACATTAAAAATAATATTATTATCAATCAATTTTTTTCATATATAGATTTAGGGTCGGTTTGGGGTACTTCGTGTGTTTTAGGATAATCTGTTTTTTTCTGAAACGTGGCCCGCAGGCCGGGGTTGACCTGCGGGCCAGGGGTCGACCCGCGGCCTGCGTTTGGTATAAAAACCCAAACACAATTTCAGATAAACTGGTGAAACGCGCGAACCAAACAGTACGACGGCATTTTAAAAATATCACCCGCACTTATAAGCTGCCATAAACATACCTTTAATGTACCGAAATATTATAAATATAAAAAAGCAAGACTGAGGGTGAAATATGTAAATACATAAGCTTTGTGTTCTATTTATGTAAAACTCCTTTTTTTATATTACCGCGTTAAGCCGTCTTCTCCCGAGTAACTTTTTTCTCCCCTGTTCTCCTTATAAACGTGGTAGCTTTGTCATCTTGTCTTTGTTCCCAAGCACCATGCCCTCAACGGCGGCAATGAAACCTATCGGTTTTCCGGCGATTCCTCGAAACTCCTTGCCAACGGAGCCCGCTTTTCCCAGCACTTTTCTATCCCTATTTCTTCTCGCCGGCCGTTTTTTCCATCTTTTAGACCTCTAAGAATGAAAATAAGTTAGTCTTGATTTCATTTTCGGCGGGATGGAGTAGAAAAGCAGACGCAGCCGTCTCCTCTACTGCTTGGAGAGAAAAGGTGGTCTTGAAATCAAGCCCTCAAGGTGTCCTGCTTTTCCTCGTTGATCAAAATCGCCGTTCCCGTTCAGTTCCCTCTTCAAAATCTTCTTTTTGCGAATTTCAATCAGGATAACCCTAAATGATAGATTTTTCTTAAATAATTACGGAATACGGCTCGAAACGAATTGAAAGGAAGTTAAAAGAACTCGTATTGGGCAAGAAATTCCCGGAGCCTGAGAAAAAATCACCCCCAATGTACTAAAACAGTCATCAATTACTCTCAAGAATAAGACTGGTTTTTTCTGTTTCTACGAAATTATTAGCTTTCTGAAAGAGACGAGAAATATGGAAAATGATCAAAAAGGCGAAAGCAATGCTGAGCTCAATGGGCGATGGCTTCATCGGCGTATGATACGGCATGGGTTGCCATGGCGCCGGACCTCAGAGACGGCGGCGGGCCCAAGTTCCCCTCTATTTTGCAGTGGATAGTCGACAACCAGCTCGAGGACGGCTCTTGGGGCAACCAGGTCCTTTTCTCCGCTTATCTACCGAATAATCAGCACGCTTGCCTGCGCCGTCGCGCTTCGCTTCAGGAGCGTTTGTCTTGCTTGATCAATGCCAGAAAGGTTCGACTGGAAGCTTTGCTTGATTCTTTTTAATGTGCTATCAAAGATATCGGTATTATGTATCTAAATATTAAAGTTTAAGAGTGTATTAATATATAAACATTTGGTGAAAAAAAAAATGTTAAAAATTGTAAATTTCTCTGCTTTTAAAATTTAATATATATTTCTTATAGAGTTTACGTAATTTAATAATTTTGTACACATTTGATGTATTTCTTTGCCTAATATTTTAAAAAATTAGATAACTTTGCCTCTGTTCTAACCCATGCACACACGTGCGTACACTCTTTAGGCTCCTAAAGATATTTAATTTTGATAATAATCATTTGTTGAAATTTATATGTGAAGGTTTGTTTGAATCTTTTTTTTTTTTTTTGTTTAAATTTACACATGTAGAAATTTTGTTGAAGAAAAAAAAATCTCTGAAAATTATTTTGATGGAAAACAATTATGATTCCTTCCTCATATTTTCTTTCGTTTTAATAAAATTATAGAAGCTATTTTATTTTAAAGGAATAGAAGAAAAAATAGAATTCATTTTATTTGGATCAAATTAAACAAATTTACTTAATGTGATCCAAAAGATAAAAAATTATTGATGATGTATTAGTTGCACTCTATTTTTACGTAAGACAAATTTTATATTAAAAAAATATGAGAAATTTAAAGTTATATAAGTATACATACATACATATGTATATATATTATATGTATTTAAATAAAAATTGAATCGCAAGCCGGTTGGCTGAAGTCCTCTATGCTTTTCATGCGGACCACTTTCAAGTTTCTCTTTATACATAAATGTATTTTTGTCGGCGGGCGAGCCCAGAATGCAGGCTGGCAGATTGGGCCAGGTTAACTGGCGGGGCAACAATGGGCCAAAGGCTAGCGTGACGAGGTGGTTCGGGCCCGCAATTCAAATCTTATTTGTTCAGTTGTTTTCCTACCTTTGTTTGAGCCAAAATAGATCCGGTCGGTCGCCCCGGCTTAGTCGACCGCCCACTTTGGTATGATCTGTCGCCACTGCCCGGTCTACCAATCACTTAGGTCCAATCAACCGCCCCCGACCCGACCAACCCATTAGCCATGATGTTCCGGGTTGATTACTCCAGCTGGCCCAATGGGTTAAAAAGCCAACATCACGTACATGTTGTTTGCTTTGCATATGTATTTACATCATTTGCATGATAGTGCACGACTTGATTTGCATTCACGTGTGTGCAGGAAAAATACCTGTTGGTGTTGCATGATAATTTGTCTTCAACACGTGCCATTTTAGGTGTCTCTTCAAGTACTGGCACCAGCGGTATCTCCCCCACATGTATATTACAAGTGTTTGGGGTTTGATACTCACATTACTTTGGTGATTGGCAGCTAGCTATGCTAGTCCATGGTATGTGAGTTTCCCTAGAAGAGGATGCGCCCTTAACCTCTTGTGGCATCATTTGGTTGCCACAAGCTTTGCATGTTGTTCACTCAATTAGAGTCACGCCTTAGAGCTTCTAAACTTTTTGAGTGTGCAACATGTATGCGTTTGAATTCTATCATATGCATGTTGCTTGATGATATGTCGTAGTCTTTGCTCATACCTTAGTTGAGTAACAACGACGTTGAACCTTGTGTAATGTATGTTTGCATTTGCATTTGTCTACATGCTTTGGTAGCGAGTCGAACTCAGTAGGTGAGTGACCCTGTGTCGGTCGCGATGTGTTATGAGCATTATTCATCAGGTAGATCTAGGGGAACAGTGCGAATTAAAACATCGGGATTGCACAAGTATGATTGTACTAAGGATCCAAGAGATACAACTTGTGTCACCTTGTGTGTTACGAGTTTGCATTTAAAGACTCTATTTTAATGTAAGAAAAATATTTTTCTACTAATGATATACATCATAATTTTAAAACTATGCAAATGGCAAACTAGACCATATGTAAGACCAACTCTTTTTTAAAAAAATCCATATTGGGTGACATTTGTTAGAACTTTTGGATCTTTGGGACAGGACCAGTATGATAGACCCGTTAAAGTAATACTTGATCAGAGATTTTAACCTGCGAACTTAGATGCTCTTTAAAGAACCTAGTATTATAAACATTTTTAAAAAATTCCATATAAAATATTAAGATTAATAAAAATTTTAGGATTAAAACATTAAAATTTTTAAAACTTGCACTTTACTTTTCTGCTTGGTCTTCGGGGCGGTTTTAAAATAATTTGCATAACATTATCTTCAACCTAATCATATTAATAAGATCTCCACTCTTAGGATTGTGGTAAAAAAATTGTATCATATTTGTATGTCATGAGGAGAAAACTCGGTGCTTCTTCAACCTGACTAGCTCAATATAAGTTTGATATTCAAGTGATTATTTAGCACGATTAGGTTTTTAGAGGCTTCTTCGGCCCAGTCGAGTAGTAAGTCATTTGTTGAGAGTGTTTTCAACTTTGTAGTTGGATCTCTCTTTTCTCTTCCTTATGATGGCTTCTTTATCATTTATTTGCAAGTGCAAGTTCCACCTTTGTGAGCTCTACCTTTATAGGTCATAAGATCTATAGTTTTCTTCTTTTGTTCTTAGGGTTGCTGAGGTCTCATTGGACAATGCAATTCATAGATTGCTGACAAGGAGTCTCAAGTTTTGTTGGATTGACTATATTTACAATCAGATAGACTAAGGGTTCTAATAACTTAGAATGACAGATCCATGGTATCCTAATCAGGTTATCTCTACCCATTTAAGATCACTCTACCCTTCCTTTGTTGAGTCATTTTGAGCCATGTCGTTCTTTTGACACCTCATTGATGTCTGCTCACAGGCCTCAATTATGGATAGGCAACCACCCATTTGGGATATGGTGAAGTCTATCCTTATGTCCCGATTTTGGCCCTAGAAGCATAGTGTGGATCCTATGAGTCAACTTGGTTATTTCGTAGAACTAGTATGCCGATGAGCCACTACTTATTTGGGATGTGAGATATTCACTCAGTGCCCTGTGATTTAGTAAGAGCTTGAAAGCATCAGGATGTTCCTCTAAAATAACCATCCTTTTTGGTGACCTATTTACTAGTCATGATAACGTAAGCAAGACTTCTTTTAGCGAAAATGTTCTTGGGTATCCACCAAGATGTAATTAACCAAAGGGATATGTTCTTTGAAAGTGCTCTTGACCTCATAACAAAAATATTTTTTCTTGTTTTCTGGTAATGGGTGACTTATGTAAAGATTTTCTTCATGAATATTGTGATTTAAGATATTTCGATCTGATCTTATTTGGATGTATATCCTCAACCTCTCATATAAGAATTACTATAGAAAAGCCTTATATATTTCTTTTTAAAATTTATTTGTTTGTTTTTGTCGTATATCCCGTCTCTTCTGATTCCTCTCCTCTTCGGATCATTCATATGATCAAAGAAAGAGATTTATTTGGAAATAAGAATCATACGACGACGACATATAAATAAACAAGTTATCGACTCCAAATTCTTAAAAACACCAAAAATAACCACATCTTTTCCTAATAAGATTGCCTTTCTCCTAAGAGAA